AGGAAGGCACCATTGTCAAGAACAAGGCAAGACTGGTAGCCAAAGGCTACTGCCAGGAAGAAGGTATAGATTTTTATGAAACCATTGCTCCCGTTGCCAGATTAGAAGAAATAAGAATATTCTTGGCGTATGCTGCTCACAAGCAATTCACAGTCTATCAAATGGATGTGAAAAAGTGTCTTCCTAAACGGTCTACTAGAAGAGGAGGTCTTTGTGGAGCAACCTCCTGGTTTTGAAATCAATAGAGAGAAGGATCAAGTCTACAAGCTACACAAAGCTCTATACGGACTCAAGCAAGCCCCAAGAGCATGGTATGACACTCTCTCTGAATACTTAGTGAATAATGGATTCACTAAGGGCAAAGTAGACAAGACTTTATTCAAAATTGAAGAAGGTCCCCACATATTGCTTGTTCAAATCTATGTTGATGACATAATTTTTGGAAATTCAAATCAAGCATTGTGTGAGAAATTTTCAACTCTCATGCAAAGCAAGTTTGAAATAAGCATGATGGGAGAGTTGAATTATTTTCTGGGACTACAAGTGAAGCAGACTCCACAAAGCTTCTACATCAACCAAGAAACTGAATAAAGAAAGATTCAGAATTCAAGACAAAAGCTTGGGGTGATGATCAAAGTATGGGAATTACCCTGTACCCATTCAGGGGGAACTCAATTGAAAGGGAATTCCTAGCCAACTGTTGAGGGGGAACTCTTCACTATACTCAAGAAAAGTCACCTACTCAAAGAAAGCGACTCGAAATTCAAGCAGTAGGCTCAGCAGGTGACTGACTTCCACATGCAGTTAGCTCCGCAGGTGACTGACAATAAGCCCACTGCTAATTCTCAAACACCATCAAGATCAAAGTAACTGCCAAGAATAAGCTACTCAAACTCACAGGGAATGAAGCATCAAGGTCCAAGAAAGTCAATCTCAAATATAAAAGAAGTCAAAAATCCAAGCAGAAGGATCAGAAGAAGCACTACTATACGTAGGATCCTGGCAGATGGCTGAAGGAAGCAGTAACTGACTCAACGAAGATGATAAATGCTGTTCCCTCAAATGCTTAATGGCCACTACAACGATGTTGAGATGCCTTAAGCAAAAATGATGTCTTAGAAAAGGAGAACAAAGAGCTGAAAAACTCCAGCAAACTCAGCAGGCGACTGACTATCAGGCCACTGCTACATTAGTAAAAGAGATGTTTTCACAAAGAGAAGAACAAACGTAAGAAGAGCAATGGAGCAAGTGCCTTCCAGCAGGAGGATGAAAAGAACAGCAGCAGGCTCACGTTTGGAGCATCAACTAAGGGGGAATCTCAAAGAGGAAGGAAAGAGGATGTCAAAAGCAAAGAAGAGGATGAGAAATGAAGATGACTCATCAAACTCAGCAGTTGATACGGAGGAACCTGCTGCCACAACAACTGAAAGCCATAATCATTGGAGAATGAGAAGAACAACTAGCTCAAACTGCTAAAAATCAGATACCAATTCAAAAAGGTACGATATTGATCCACAAAACTCAGCAGTAGACCCATATATGGATTGAAAATAGAATGCTACTATTCTGTAGAAACTTATTTCTATTAGGAACATCTTGCATCTGCAGCATCCTAATAAAATAAAGATTATCTACAGTTGTTAGTAAGTATCCTATTTTTATTTGATTACTGTCAAAATTAGCCATAAACAAGCTAAAATAGTATCCTAGGACTATCCATTTCTGAGCATGCAAAAGGAAGTGTCATTCAAAAGCAGAAAGAATTTATGGTTACATGCAACATGCATGAATAACATCTGGCAATCGAAAAATGATCACTCATCTTCCTCATTAATGATGCTCTGAGAAAATACTTGATCAATCCTCTCTCACTCTCTTATCAAGACACTCTGTCTTAAAAGAAGAACCAGCCGCTGAAACATTAATGAAGACTTTAACATACTTCGATTCTCACCCACATCGAAATATGAAGAAGCCGCACACTTCTTTTAAATACCTCCACTCCATGAACAAACCTCCCGTTCGAATTAATCCTCTTTCTATCTACTCCAAACTCTCCTTCGGTAAAATTCAAAATGAATCCCTCTTTCAACTCCCTGTCTCTCGAACTTTCACTAGCACCACCACAGTCCAACAATGGTTATCAGGCAGCACCACACCCTGATGTCAACCAACCTTATGCCCTAACTCGAATGCAAGAGGAAAGCCTTGCATACATAGAGCTCCAAGCTCTGATTGGAGCGGAAAAGGAACAGCTACTGCAAGAACGACTTCGGGTGCTGGAATGGAGAAAGTGGAGATTATCAGACATTGATACTCTCATTCTCAACAGATCACGAATGATAGGAGAAGAAACGTTCTCTCTAAAATGGATGATGACACAAGACATTGAGGCATCACTCTCAATCCACAACATCAACAATGTCTTCCATTTCAGACTTGCTCAAGTCATTGAGAACAACACACAGAGACAAGCAACAAGAGGCCACTTCCCTGGGGAACCATCAAGCAGTAGAAGAAGGACTGAGTGATTGGTGAATGCTACCAAAAGAGGGGGAAAGAGAGTAGGAAAACACTCTAGGTTCATCTTTTGTATTTTATAAAGTGTTTTCAAACTCTTCTTTTGGCATCATCACAAAAGGGGGAAATTGTTAGATACTAGATTCTGATAGATTTTGATGATGCCTTTGTTTTGATATCTCCCATCTTTTGTAGCATTCAATTATTATGCATACTGGCAGTTGGCTGTACTAATTATCTGAAAGTGTCCTGCTCAAATTAAGAATTAACAAATAAATATAACTGGAAAACATAAAATGCAATAAGGTAATACTTTATTACCTTAAAAGGCATCCCTTATAGATTCCACCAGTTAAATTTATTTGTTACATCAAATGACACAAAAATGTTTCGAACAACTAAACTGTTTAGTTAACTGGAATACAAAATGCAATAAGGTAATAATTTTTACCTTAATAGGATTTGTTATCCTACCAGTTAAAAGTATTTAGTTTATGTTCGAAATACTTGATGAGCCATACACAACCAAGTGTGACCAAGAGTCAAAAGAAAAATGTTTGTATGAAGTAAATTATACCGAAAAAAATAATAATGCAATAAGGTAATTTTTACCTTAAAGGATATTTAAATCCTACCGGTATATATTTACTTTATCACAAACATTTTAATTCGTCACAAAAACGAAAGACACATAGGTATGAAATATACATGTGTCTAATTGAGAACAAATAAATGTTTAATTTTTAAGACCAATAAAATTAATACTGGAAATTAAAAAATGCAATAAGGTAAAATTATTTACCTTAATAGGATATTTAAATCCTACCAGTATAAATTTTATTAGACTCAAAAATTAACTGTTCGAGTGTTTGTCTCGTGATTATCCGGAGCCAATCAAAAATCCCGGCATGAAGAGCCAAGACGTACAGCATGGGATGCACAGTCAACTTGAAATGGAAAAGCTACAGTGGCTAGGCAAACAAGACAAAAAGAACCCATCAGCTCTGAAGAAGAAAATAAACAACAAGTTGTTTATCTTCTGCGATCAAGATTCAACGTTCATGATTAAATCATCTCAACCAACGGATGATATTAATCAACCAGAGATGCCTATAAATAAAGGCCGAAGCATGAGTTGAAAAATCAAGTCATTGAGTTCAAAGCAAGTGGTTCAGTCATTACACTACGCATATCCAGCAAAGGAAAAAGTGCTTGAACACTCTACTTTGACTCATGCTTCACTAAGCTCTTAGACTAGATCATTCATTGTAACATTTATAGAGCTTAGGTTTTAGTTGGAGGTTAGACACTTCGTGAATCAATTCATGTTGTTGTAAACACTTAGGAGAACAGTTGTTCGGATCCTAAAGTGTGGTTAGATAGATAGAGTACCTTTTGATCCCCACTGGATCAATTGAGAAAAATCTAAGGACTGAGTAACTTTGAGTGGTGCTATACTCATTGTGAAAAACCTTCAATCTAGGCCTAAGTGTTGTAAAGGCTAGATTGGCACTAAGTGTATTGGGCTTAATACTTTAGTGGAAATCCATCTGAAATAGGGTGGGACTGGATGTAGGAGGATTACACCACCTCTGAACCAGGATACATCGTGTGTTGATTCTCCTTTACTCACCAAAGCACACACTCAACACTTCTCACTAAAGGGATCGTAGTTTGCCAGCAGCATCCTAAGCAGTCGTCTTAATTGACTCTACTGCTTATCCTACTGCTTAATAACTCACTTTTCCTTGAGACTTCTGTTTCCCACAAGCTTTAAATATCACTACTATTAGGAGTAGTTGGTCAGTCCCCAAAGATACCTTTTTATAAGCAGCAGACGGCTTAGCAGTTTCCTGGGATTACCCAACTGCTCAGACCACTGCTTAGGCAAAACTCCTTACTATCTTCAACTCAACATATATTCAAAAAGCCCTCATCATTCTCTGCAAGGCCATATTATCATCTTTCTCAAACTCCTGTTTTCAACTGGCAGTTGCCTCAGCAGTTCCCTGCCATCTAGCCAACTGCCAAGTCAACTGCTCACAGTTTAAAGCCCAAACATCATTCAAGGTAGAAAGTTGTCACACACTCATTATAAAAAGGGTAAAGACTTCCGCTGTGCATCTATTAATCTCTCAAAAGATTATAGATCAATTCATCTAGAGGCAAAAACTTGAAAAAGTTGAAAAAGATTTAAAAGTCTATTCACCCCCCCTCTAGACTTTTACCCTATCCAGGACCACCAGACGATAAACATGAACATTGATGGAAATTATCTGGTTTGCATTATATTTATAAAGGATAATGTGTGAAAAAAGGCACACACACCATTTTTTAGTGATAGAGCACGAACCCCAGTAGGGTTCAATTCCACGTGGCAGTCATACCTAGTTGATAATGATAGAGCTACAAAATAACGAACAAATTTGGTTAAATGCTCCCAGTGTGTATGCATGAATTGAAGATAGGGAGGATAGAACCTTGGAATAGGTTTATGGCAGCCCTGTTGATGAGGACAAGAGGGTGACCACCTGCATGCAGAATCTTTTCAATTTCAGCACCATGTTTGCCAACAAATTCCTCCCACATAGTAAATGGGATGGGTATGCACCTGTGTAAGAATGTTAAAAAAAATGGTGAGTGTTGTTGGGTGCGTAATGACATAAGTAGTAATATGGGATCGAATAAACGTAGTGCATACTCTTCGTTGACAAGAACAACATCCCAAGCAACGCGTTGTTTACCACCGGTAACTATGAAGGTACGCGGTAATTTTTTAACAATAGCGCCTAAAATATCTGTAATACATGGTAGAAAATAAAGTTATTGTCATGATAAAAGAAGTATATGTAAGCACATAAACACAAGGATTACTTACTCATACGTGCGTCATGCTGATAAGCGTCGAATATAGTGTGGAATGGTGCAGTTTCTGATTCAGCAAGTTCACGAAAATCAACTCCTTCTGCTGGATCCACATCTTGTATCAGGGTTCGCCGGTTGAATGACCACACATATGGATAGTTGGCATCAACGCAGTAGCGCATTTCAGTTATTCGTTTTACGTAAGCATTTGAGATAAGGTATGTGGAGTACAGGGATAGGCGTTGATCTATTCCTTCTATATCACCCTGAAATGCAGTGGCCTGGACTCTGGTCCCCTGGAAAAAAAATATGAAAAGATTAGTAGTGAGTGACTAATAAGGAGTAGAAAATGGTGTGGACACATTAGCAAAAGGGTATTTACAGCAGAATCCTGCAGAATCATTGGCATGAATTTTATTGGAGATGTCTTTCCTGTGCGCACATTTTGCTTTTCAATCAATGTTAGGCGACATGTCCATTGGTGGCTGTCTGGTTTCACTGCGGTTATAAGGCCTTCAATTGACATTTGGTACAAACTCCTGAAGTGTTTGTAATGAAATAAATGATTATAATGACAGTAAGTGGGGAGGTGTAAATAATGGCAAAATTGTAAAGCAAATATGTTAGGATAGGGGAGGGTGAGAGACAAAAATAAACCTGATAATAAATACGAGGCTAATTAATATAAGATAAGATTTCATCATAAACAACATTGGGCGTTGTATTACGCAGTGCTGGTTGGGGATCGTCAGGGCAGATCACAATCTTTATGGATTCGGCATTCCGAGCTCTAGACATAGCAACATATAGTTGGCCATGAGAGAAAACTGGTTCTTTCAAATAGATACCAACAAAATCAAGTGTCTGTCCTTGTGATTTGTTTATGGTCATTGCAAAGCAAGCTTTAATGGGAAATTGGATGCGTCGGAATGGGATTGGGCAGTTTTCGTCTTTTGACACTTCAAGGGGAATTTTGGGGATAAACACATGTTTACCTTTGTGATCACCAGAAGCAATGAAACAACTTAGTATGTGATCTCCAAATGAATCACAGATTAATCTTGTTCCATTGCATAGGCCCTCACATGGGTTCAGATTTCACAGCAACATTATAGGGCAATTACGTTTTAAATGCAACTTATGCGGTGGCAGGCCAGAAGGTGATAGTGTGTGGAGGTAATCTGCACAGTACGTGTTTTTGGAATCTATAGGGATATCATGACTGAGATAGGTATGATCTTCCCCTGGGAATTTCCCCATCAAAGATGTATTGATAAAGTCCACAATGTTATTTTTCGTTGTAAGTATAGCGCGACTCATTAAAGAATAAGGATTTGTTTCAAATATTTGCAAATTTGGGTAAACTGCAGTGAAAAGCATGTCAAGAGAAGCACTTTCAGTGGTCCAGGGAAGTAGAAAACTGGATGGAATTTTAATACGGTTTGATGTAACAGTGTGTTCTTTTCCGTTGCCAATACGCATTAAATAGTTGCTGAACTCAGGATCTTCATGGGCGCGCATATTTACAACAAGTTGAAGCCTACAAACATATGGCCATATTGTTTGTGATCTAAGTAGACACGCATCTATAAAATCATGCCTGGTTCCGGCACGAACAACGGGCAATGTTTGACGAAAATCACCACCGAATACCATAACACTACCTCCAAAAATAGCATCTACACCCAGAATGTCTCTCAATGTTGTATCTAGGCTTTCAACAACCTTGCGATTTGCCATAGATGCTTCATCCCATAAAATGAGTCTTGCTTCCCTAAGTAACCTAGCCTCTGATGACTGTTTGCCAATGTTGCAGGTGTATTTGGCTTCCCCGTCAAGAGGTAGTTTGAATCGTGAGTGTGCAGTTCGGCCACCAGGCAATATTGATGCAGCAATACCCGAACTGGCAGTTGCCAGAGCGATCCATTTGTTTATTCTGGTGGCAGCCAACAGACATCTATATAAGAAACTTTTCCCGGTTCCACCAGGTCCATCAATAAAAAACACAGCACCTTGATGTGAACGAACGGCAGTCATTATAGTATCAAAAGCTGAGCGTTGCAGATCATTTAACGATGATATGCCATTGATATCTACATCACTTACAATGATGTTTTGTTCTGCCAGAATTTCACGTGTGTTTCCCTCATTGTTACACATGCTAAAATCAATATCTGTCAGTTTAAAAGAGTCGATGTCCCTACCCATTTCAGCAAACATGCTGCGTAACAGGTTCAGTGCAGTCATTTCAGCTTCTATGCGATCTTGAATCCTGGAAAAGTCTTCGCACAAAGTGGTTTTGTATTCTTCCCATAATGCACGTGGGTTAGGCACATCTGAGTAGCACAAATGGGTTGCAAACAATTTGCGCAGGCTAGTTGGAAGTTGGAACAATGTAGCCTCATCAAGTGACGCTCGTATAACGAAGTCACCTGATAGTAAGCCCAGACGTTCAGCTGCAATTCTGAATGTGGGAACTTCGGTCCCGTCAATAGTTTTCAAATTTGTAAAAGAAGTAGGTGAGCGGACGTTGGCTAGTAATAGACGAAGATAATAACGCTCACCTTCAATGGGGTTAACAGAAACAAGTCTGCCAAGGACTTCCCGTCTCTGTCGTTGTGTCCACTTTCTTTGTTGTTTAGACCACACAAAATAATGGGGAAATTCAATGTAAAGCAGATTCAATGCTTTTGCAACTTCATCAGAATGATTCATGGCAAAGAATTGCGTTAGCATTGTGCGCAATGAATCAGCAGATTGAGTGATATAGGTGATACGCTGGTTCCCATAGAATGTTAGGTATTGGGAGTTTTCCAAATGAACCTGCAACTGTAGAACAGCAGGCTTCATTTCTGAAATTGGGAACCCAAATATCCGCCACGCAGCTTCAGGGGCAGATACCCAGTGTGCTTTTTGGAAGTCACTGATTTCGTCAATGACCCCATTGTCGCTTACATCTGACAACGACATACTAATTCGATCATGACCCTTATACACATATTTATATATGTATTTGACTGATCGTACACTTGCACAAGCTTCAACATTCATGTGGCAGTCATATTTACGCAACAAGTGAGAGTTATAAGGTACGACCCAACGATTGTCTAGGCAATGCTTCCTCGCTTGCACTGTTACACCCGACTCACGTCTCATGTAGGTGGGGAAAGAGTTTTCATCAAACACCGTAACAGGAGTAAAAATGCGAGGATATTTGCTTCTGCATGAAGGTGAGATAGCATCATGGGATACTACCATGCAAGGGCATTCCAAATTCATGGAACCGCATGGGCCATGTATCATATGCTTCTTCACAAGTTCATATAATACCGGATCATCATGCGGGTTAGGGAGTTCAGCGGTGATCAGTTTATTACACTGAGCCGGTGTGGAAATCTTAAAATCCCGACCTAAAATAAGCAGGAAATGAGCGTGAGACAGGCCCCTCTTTTGGAATTCTATTACATACGTGTATGCAACAACCTTGCCAAAGAATGCCTTTGTCAATATGTCCTTTTTAAAGTCTTCCAGACGGGCGCGAAATACGCGGGCTACAAGGTCTGGCCGGTTTTGGGTTTCATCAACAAAAGAAAGACGTTCTTTGATCTCGGGCCAATTTGGGTTACAGGTTATTGTAACGAATAAGTCTAGTTTGCCGTAATGTTGAACAAGTGTCATTGCATCCATGTAACGCCCACGCATATCACGTGGCCCACCTATGAATGAGCCTGGCAACATGACACGCTTCCCAACATCACTGGTATTATCCAAACCAGTGCCAACACTGTCAACCAATCCTTGATATGTATCAGATCGACATTCACGTTGCTTGCTACGGTAGTAATCCAGCCTCTGTGTTTCAATTTTAATGTAAAGGTCAACAATATACTGTTGGAATAAACGCCCAGAATGTAGGATGAATGACGTGGTTTCATGGCGCATTTGTAACTTGTATGCATAATACTGGCGGCATGACACTGACGTATTATTACCGCTTGCAGTGTGTATCTGTTCTTCATTTGCAATGATGGTATCCTCTGCATCAAGCACATTGGCCGCTATAGTGAATGAGGCGACATGCTGGGAACCAAGGTTGGTCAATTCAGGATGACCTTTAGGGATTCCTGCGTGCCATCCCACTTCCCCTAGGGGGAAAAGCAGAGGGTATTGCAATGGGTCATAACACCCATAATAATAATGGATGTTTTGAGATCGGCCACTATGCGAGTATACACGAATGCTCCTGTTTAAAGTGATGTTTTCATCTCCATCTTCAACCCATACAGCAGCAACCTGAGATGTAGTGGGGTGGTTATAAACACGCTGATCCAGGCTGGGATTCCCATTTAAGATTATAGAAAATTCAGTACTTTGATCAACCTCGGTCAAAGTTTTAAAAAATTGCGCATATGGATTATCCGCCAGCACTGCCATCAACCGTGCAACCACATCTTTGTCCAAACGTTCCGTAGAGGATAATCTATTGTCAAGTGCTTGTTCTGTGTCATAGAAATAAAGTTGTAGATTCCGGGGTGGGCAACCAGTAGGTAATAAGTCATCTATGAAATGGTATATTTGGCCCTGAACTCTGAACGTATATATGCCTTGGTTGCGTCTGCACAGATTCTTGTCAAATTTGTAGATTCCTATAGAAGTGAACGCAAATGTGTTGTTATATGTGCGCACACATGAGCGAAAGTGTTTAGACATCTGATCACGTGAAGTGTACAAAGATTTTAGCTGCGCTGGCATTTCAGTTGAAGCAAGGACAACCACCCCCTTACTACAGCACATGCCTGGGGGTTCATACTGAATTCGTTCAGCACCGCAAAGCAGGCAATCCACAACAGGTTTAAGTTGATATGTGGCAGTGTGGACGTTAGACGGATGTCTTGGATCGTTAGAGGCAAGTATGGGGGCATTAGTAGCTATTTTGGAGTACATTTTTTAATATAAATTGGAGACGATGGGTTTGGGTGTGATTTTGTATGATAGAATGGGATATTTTGATTTCCAGTAATAGAGTATATAATGACATGAATACATTAGCACAAATGTGTGGGCATAACAAAGCGGCAAAGAAGATAAGGGATGAGAAGTTAGACATATATTTTTGAGGGTAGAGAAATATGCATAGATTGCACAGAACAAAGAGTTAGCCACATGTGCATTCCAACATAAAATATAAGGGAGGATTTAGATGGCGTAAATGAGGCACATATAATTGGGCAAAACCCATTCCAAGATAAAATATAAGGTATGATTCAGATGGCGGAAGAGAAGGACATGCAATTGAAAAATGCGAACAGATTATACAACACAAAAAGGGGTTGGACGATAACAGAGCATGAGAAATCATATATCTGCAAAAAACAGACCTCTAAGTGAGTTTCCACTACAAGGGTGTGCAGAAGGGGATGCTAAACTGTCAGAACGGGTGTGGCCTTCTGCTGTTTTGCGCGCGTATGCTAGCCTACGACGCTTATTTCGACGGTCACGTTGCTCAGATGGAGGCACGATGGAACCAAAGCCCACACGAGGAGGTATTGGCATAATAGCTAACATGTAGTGAAACGTAGAAATAAAATAGCTAGAAATCCTAAAACTTACACCATTTTGAGAAAAAAAAAACAATGACAACCAGATATTTGAGCACATAAAGGATCACTATGATTAAAGCTATGGATCTGATGAATTCAAAATATCACTGACAGAGGGAACAATCAATACAAAAGAATTAATACTACTACAACTAAAAAAATGACGTAAATGTTAAACCCCTTAGCAGGAAAGGGAAAAAACTTACAGTAATCACAAAAAAAGAAGACCCGGCAACAACAAACAGCACGCAAAGACCTGTATGGAAAAAACCGAAACACAATCAGTGTGGGCAAAAGTAACAAAATCAGTAAATAAATAGAAATGGAAGATAACAACCACACATTCATCACAGATGTATGACATAAAACAATCGTTACAAAGCCCATAAAATGGAGTAAATAGCCAAAAATGAATAAACCCAAGAACAAAACATCAGACCATTTTTCCTAAAATCAATTCGTAATTCATAACATTATACAACAAAATATTTCAACAAAATCAAGTCATTTGTGCATACAACATGAGAGGAATAAACAATTCACATAACAAGTTTGAACACTGTGGATTTAAACCATTTTTTCATAAAGAAATAGCAGTACTTTTAAATTTCAGAATCCTGACCAGCACACATAACGAAATGCTTATATTCAGACCAGTAACAAACATAAACCCAATGAAGTATTATCCAGGAGCAACAAAATAATAAAAAATCAGAATGGGGACGACCAAATATACATATACTGGAAGGAAGATATATAGTATGAAATTACAATTAGAAATAGATGTAAAAGTGAAGCTCAATTACATCCACTATTAACCAGTAAGGTGGTTGAAAAAAGTTGGGAAAATAGATCTGTACAAGACAACCTAAATATTAATTCCTATAGTTTGATCCACCTAACCTGCTTTAAGCGGAATTTAATATTCTTCAATTCCCTAGAAATAATAAAAACCTATATGTTTGAAAAACTTGTACGAATAAGTGAAAAGTTTAGTGTCAAGCTAATGTAATAAAATTTTAAAAAAAAAATAATGAAATTTTTAAATAATGTTTTAGTAAAAAAAATCGCCCCAACAAAATAAAAAACACACAGATCAAATTCACATAGATTGGAAGAGAGACGTATAGCATGAATTTGGAGTTAAAAATAGATGTAAAAGTGAAACTCAATTATATCCATAAGTATATGCTACTTAAATATTATTTCCTATGGTTTGATTGAATAATCTGCTTTAAGGGGAACCCAAGCTTCCTCAATCCACTGGAAACATTAAAAAACCCTTAAGTTTGAAAAGTTTGTATGAATAAGTAAATACTTTAGTGTCAAGATAAATAAGAGTTATAAATACATGTACAAGTAAAGTTCAATTGCATTCACAATGAACCAGAAAGTTGGATGAAAAAGTAGAAAAATGGATCTGCAAAAATCTACTTAAAACTTGAATAATCTGCTTAAAGGGGGATTTAAACTTCTTCAAGCCCCTGGAAATAGTAAAAAGACCATAAGTTCGAAAAGATTGTATGAATAATTAGAAATCTTAGTGTTAAGATAAATTAGAGTTAGAAACACATGTAGAAGTGAAGTTCAATTGCATTGAAAAACAACCACAAAACTGGCTAACAAAGTTGGGAAAATAGACTTGTATAATGCTGCTTAAATATTGCTTTCTATTATTTGATTGAATAATATGTTTTAAGGAGAATTTAAGATTTTTCAATCCCCTGAAAACAGCAAAAAGATCATAAGGCTGAAAAGTTTGTATGAATAAGTGAAAAGCTTAGTGTTAAGATAAATTGAAGTTAGGAACACATGTAAAACTAAAGTTCAATTGCATGCATAATTAACCAGAAAGTTGGCTTAAAAAGATGGAAAAAAAGATCTGCAAAATTCTACTTAAAAGTTGAATAAGCTGCTTTAAGGGGAATTTAAACTTCTTCAAGCCCCTGGAAATAGTAAAAAGACCATAAGTTTGAAAAGACTGTATGAATAAGTAAAAAGCTTAGTGTTAAGATAAATTAGAGTTAGAAACACATGTAGAAGTGAAGTTCAATTGCATTTAAAAAAAACCACAAAACTGGCTAAAACACTTGGGAAAATAGACCTGTACACTGCTGCTTAAATATTGCTTTCTATTACTTGATTGAATAATCTGCTTTAAGGGAAATTTAAGTTTTTCCAAGCCCCTGGAAACACTATAAAGATCATAAATTTGAAAAGACTATATGAACAAGTGAAAAGCTTAGTGTTAAGATAAATTAGAGTTAGAAATACATGTAGAAAGTTGGCTTAAAAAGATGGAAAAATAGATCTGCAAAATTCTACTTAAAAGTTGAATAATCTGCTTTAAGGGGAGTTTAAACTTCTTCCAACCTCTGGAAATAGTAAAAAGACCATAAGTTTGAAAAGAATGTATGAATAAGTAAAAAGCTTAGTGTTAAGATAAATTAGAGTTAGAAACACATGTAGGAGTGAAGTTCAATTGCATTTAAAAACAACGAACCACAAAACTGGCTAAAACACTTGGGAAAATAGACCTGTACACTGCTGCTTAAATTTTTCTTTCTATTATTTGATTGAATAATCTGCTTTAAGGGGAATTTAAGTTTTTCCAAGCCCCTGGAAACACTATAAAGATCATAAATTTGAAAAGACTATATGAATAAGTGAAAAGCTTAGTGTTAAGATAAATTAGAGTTAGAAATACATGTAGAAGTGAAGTTCAATTACATTCAAAAACAACCACACAACTGGCTAAAAAAAGTGGGAAAATAGACTTGCAAAATGCTGCTTAAATATTGCTTTCTATTATTTGATCGAATAAGTTGCTTTAAGGGGAATTTAAGATTCTTCAATCCTCTGGAAAAAGTAAAAACACCATAAGGTTGAAAAGCTTGTATGAATAAGTGAAAAGCTTAGTGTTAAGATAAATTAGAGACAGGAATACATGTAAAAGTGAAGTTTAAGTGCATGCACAATTAACCAGAAATCTGGCTGAACGTAGACCTGCACAATGCCACCTCAATATTACTTTGTATCATTTGATTGAACAATATGGTTTAAGAGGAATTTAATTTCCTTCAATCCCCTGGAAATAGTAAAAATACCATAAGTTTGAAAAACTTTATGAAAAAGTGAAAAGTTTAATGTTAAGATAACGGTTCAAAAACTTAAAAATAAAAAAAATAAATAAATAATACGGAATTTTCTAAACAATGTTTTAGTGAATAGTGGATTAGATTAAACTTTTAGAAGGAGGCTGAACATCTTTGAGTAAGTATAAATGAAGGCCGTGCACACAACAATTAAACCATGTTTACTAAAACCGAATCTTGTTCATAACAACACACAACAACGTATTTTAAAACAACATTGTGTAGCTATGCTATGGTTTAAGAAACACAAAAAAATACTAACATCGCAATTACAAACAAAGAAACAAGCGCATCACACGAAGGACCGGTGGAAAACCAGAGCAGTCCCAAAACGAACAACAAAAAACAAACGAGCAGCGGGACAAAACAATACCGAGAAAGGGAAAAGAAGAAAAGGGGGAAAAACTTACAAAGGGGGAAAGAGCCGAATGAGCAGATGGATGCAAAAAACAAGGCCAGGAAAGATGTAGCAGAACAGAAATAAGGATAGATGAGTGTCAAACAGCAGCTGCGTGGGGAAGAAGGATGAATCGTGTCAGCGGCAAATCCAGCACACGCATGAAACGGGGCGTTTTTTTTGCTGGGATGCTACTCAACCGGCGAGAACTGCTGTAGTAACAACGAAGAAGGCGTTAATACTGTAGTAACGGAATAGAACGAAAGTTAACTCCCTTCCAACTTTTATATATTAGGGAGATTTTAGTTTTATGGTGAAGAATAAACACGGATGGTGTTGGAAATATGCCATAGGACAATCATAGTTTATGATTTATCAATGAATATTTAATGCTCATTATTTAATAAAGTCGCAAACTCATTTTATGTTAATTATTATACTAGGTTTTCTTTATTACTATTTAGTCCATGAATATTATGTTTAGTAGTTGATTAAGTACGTGATTTGATTGTGGAATGCTACACTTTCTAATAATGATAATATTCTAATTGTCCATGTCTAGTGTTATTAATTTGGGACATTAATAATTAATAGACCAATATGTGGACTAACTTATGACTATATTTCACTAGACCATTACATATAGAGATATCAAGTTAATAATGTAGATGTTTGTTAGTGAACACGTTCATTAGACATATCCAACTTGAGCACACTGTTTGGTTATATGTCATCAGTGGTGTCCTCAATAATGATGAGGTGTTGTATTCTCATACCTGAGATATTCATGGTTACTTACATGGCAATTAATATGTATTAACACCATTAAATGTTATCTTTAAATGGGTAATTATAAAGGTGGTGATTGTACATATTATGAACCATGTAGTGATATGTGAATTATTAAGATGGTTTTTGTCACTCTCGTATAGCGAGAGAAATATATATATTAGGTCCCTTAATAAGTAAGAATTAAGATTAATCGGCATGGTCATGCTCAAATGAAGTGTCATTTTTCAAGATTAATCTTACTTGGTAAACAAGAAATATCAACCATTAAAAGAGAATTATTAGCACAAATTAATCATTAAAACGTTATGTCATATTTAATTGACATTTATATATCTTGGATAGTCATAATGCCTTGCTAGAGACCGCTTATGACTTGTGAGGCTCAAATTAAATTTATGGGTTTTTTACAAGAATATTACTAAATTAAAACTTATTTACATAAATATGACTATTCATTACTACAACGTGGTGTTGTAGTAACTTAAGTTCAAAACTTGAACATGAATTACTATGATTTCATTACTACTCTAGTAACTAGTCATATTTTTGTAAACTATCTTTATTTTGGTCATATTCATGTAATTATTTCTAAATTTATAGCCCACTGCCAACGATATATAAACCTACAGGGTCACACACCTAAGTGATATGGATCATTAATGTTTGTTAATAACATTAAAATAGCCTAATTAGCCCAATTCAAAATAGGTTTTTGAATGGTATTGGACTAGGACCATTTTTTTCACATAAAATTTTAACTTAAATCATAAATGTGACATCTTTAGAAGGAGTGTCTATTTAAATTTTTGGGGGCTTGCTAATTATACAACAAATGTGATGGGGTGGATCCGTTTCATATTTGTACACTAAAAACACACGCACCAAACATAATTATACATAATAATACTAATTACTAATTATTACTATTATTACTAATATATGAAGTAATATACTTCCTCCGTTCTTTTTTAGTTGCAACGGTCAACATTTCACATTTGCCAACACACGTCTTTGACCGTAATTATATCTTAATCTCTATTAGTAAAAAAAAATTTAAAAATCGGATTTTGAAACTTTGTAATGAGATGAATTGAACAATATCTTTTTTTAAAAATAATTTTCATAAAATAATAGCGTAAAATTTAGTCAAAGTAGAGCATGTGAATAGTGTAAAATTCAACATGTTGCGATTAAAAAGAAACGGAGGATAGTATAAGGAGATGACTTTTCAAACTATGCTAACACATACTACGAATAGGGTATATACTTCGTATTTAGTACGCGTTACTCCGTATATAGTAAAACGCCGGACTTGAAGCTTCCCATGGAAAACGGATCGAGCGTGAATTAATGCGGAAGTTTTATAACGGCTGGGGAAAAACCTAAAACCCAGAACCTTCGAAACAATGATATTTATATACGGTGTATACGTAGCCTATTGTTCATGCCAAACTTCGAATACACTTGTATACATACGATGACTTGCGTGCAAATTTAGAGACTAAAAAAAAACGAAGGAGAAAAGGAAAGGGGAAAGATCAAGACCGGAGAAGAAATCTGTAGACTGGAGTTCCGCTTCAGAGTTGCTAGGCTGTTTCCACACCGGAGAAGAGGAATCCGCCGACGCCGGAGAAGCTATGATCGCCGGTCTATATCGCCACCAAACTGCTTTCTTTTGACGACGGGAAGGCCGGGACCAAGGAAAGAACGAAAGATACGCAGTTAAGGAGCACGCCGTAAAGCCGTAGCCAGACTCGCCGGACTGTACTGTTTACGCTAGAGAAGAAGAATCACTGGATGTGTTCGATCTATTGTCGACGGAAGTACAGAACGGACTGCTGCCGCTGAGACACCGCCACCACCGTTGGAGGATAGAGTCGATGCCGCCGGGGATTTTCTAAAGCCGTCATCGATTTCCGTACAGTGGCCGTACTGCGTGGAGGAGAACGACAAACTGTACGTAGTATATGAACCTGCACTACGTTTCTTTATTAGATTGGACTTGGTTAATCTGTTAAGTGATTGGGCCGAATAGGATTATTGTATGGAGCATTTCGAATTGGGTTAGAATAAAATAAAATATAAAGGGATGGTCTATTGTAATATAAATCGTAGCAATTAAATAATAGGAGGGTTAATTTATAAATAAAGGGCAGAAGATTTAACTAAAAGTTTATATATATTGATTTATAATTTTAATATTCTTAGAAGGTGAATTTGGAGAAGATCAATATAGAAGCTTCGGTTAGGACTTATCGCGATTTGAGGTAAGTTTCACGTCAACCGAAATTAGTTCTTTTTACTTCGTGATTTCTTTGAATATTTTTGTGTGTATATTTGAGAATTGAATTTATGTGTGCTGAAGTTGATTAAATATTATGATATGGAAGGGTTGTATTTGGGATATTAGTTGATATATTGGTTTGTTAATATGAGTTATTGTATACAATTTTGGGAGATTTTGTAATAGTACGTAATTTGTTATCTTTGTGGGAGTTTGATAAAAAGGAAATTTTTGAAGTATAAACTTCGATTGATTTTGAGAAAGCAAAGAAACATAAATATTTTCATAAAGAGTGGGCATCACGGGAGAAATCCGTGATGTCGGTTTTCCACGTCCCTTAAAATGTGGAGGGTGGTTAGGTCTACTACTACTCAATTCTTGTTGGTATTGGTTTGAGGTGAATTGATGGTCGGTAGAAAACATCCCGATTTTTGAGTAGTAGTGGTAGTAGTAGCTCCTAATCATTCAGTTTTTGAGGTGGGGTAGTTGGTAGAAAACATCCTGACTACCCGGATCAACTTACTAACCCGGAGGGCTTGGAATACCTTTAGGGGGTGTGCACACTTAAGGTAGTTGTTTCCGTTTCCATTGAGCAGTTGTGGTACCGGCGATAGTCCTGGGGTGGCCGTACATAACAACGGACCACCGGGCTCAACCAAAGTGTTGAGCACCGCCCTTCTAAATTACTAGGAAGTTAGTTACAAAGTGATTTTGGGAGAAAATTCAACAGAGGAGAATTTCGGTGTTTCATGTATTTTGGAATTATTATGGTTTACGAGTTATGTGATTGGGATATTGTATGAATATAGTTTTACTTATGATTTATAAAGTGTTTTGAAGAATATTTTATGCTAAAAGATTGTACGAATTTTATATATATTATTTATTATTATTTTAAAAGGTTAGGTGGAACTTACTTAGCATTATTGCTAATGTTTGTTTCTTTTATTTTCTTTTGCTCATATTTAACAGGAGGTGATCATGTTGATTTTGATGCTGGAATGTTTGAGAGCGTGAACTAGAAGATCGCTATGTAGATCACTAGAATAAATTTTGATACTTGCTTATGATTCGAACATCTAGATTTTTGCTAAATTACATTTTGGGTAGATAGCCTTAGCATTCAACCATTCAAAGGTTGGATGTGGCGGTGACATGCCCCTTTCCTTTATTTTACCTATTTCCGCTGCAAACATTTGAATGTTTAAATAATAAATAAAAGTTCATTTTTGTTTCAAAGTATTATTTTGGGTGGGAAATTTGGGGGTGTCACATCCATGAGAGTTTTATTAGCTATAAAACTCCTCCTTTCCTCCTCTTATAAATAAGGCTAAGGAGACCCACGAATTTTATGATTTAAAATTCACATCTAAAAACCTAGAGAGAGAAGGAAAGAAGAGAACACTAGCGCGTTCCCTGTGGGCGATACAGTCACGTGCGTGTGGTTACCAGTAGAGCTCGAGATCGTTTTCTCGACTGTCTGACATCATTGCTTTAAGAATGCTATGTAAGTCTCTCTTATGTATTGTAATTTCGCTTATAGTAAGAACCTCAGATCCGTTTGTTTACTTTTGGGCAGTAAATTTTTCGTTTACTCCGCTGCGTTTTTCTGCCCAAAACCCAAAAATAGTATCTGAGACTACGGTTATTTATTATATTCGGGTTATTTGGTTTGATGTATAATCTGTAATTTGATTAACTTGGGATTTAATTTTGGGATTAATTTTTATTAATTTCAGAATTATTGATTTATTAATTTCGGAATTTATATGTGTGTATTATATTCCGAATTTTTGTAAGGATGTGATATTCGAATATTTTGAATATTTGGAATATTGTGTGATATTATTTATTATTTTTCGAATCAGATCTGAATGAAATTGGGAATTGGATAAAATCCTACTGCCTAATTATTCGGAAGGGATTCGAATAGACATGAGAATTCAAGAATTTGAATTAGATCCAAATTGATACTCATAATCTATGTTAATAATATTTTATGATATTATTTATTTCTTTTCGGATTAGAACTGAATGGAATTAGGAATTGGATAAAATCTCATTCCCTAATTATTCAGAACAGATCTGGTCTGGTCTGTTTAAGTCTGGTCTAGTCTGATCTAGTCTGGTTTGGTCTGGGACTGAAAACAGTCCAAAAGAAAACATCCTAAGTAACCCATACTTAGCTTGTTGACTTTTTCAAAAGTTCCACGAAGCTATTTAAATAGCTAGCGATATTAGATCCTCTCAACTTAACATAACACCGGGGAAGTTTTTGAACAAGTTAAGCCGATTCTATACAACATGTACACACTAATTAAAGAGGCTCCAATTTTTTAAAAGTTTAATAGTAATATATAGTAGTATTTTACTTTAAGTGTTAATACAGATGATAATATAGAGCGAGTAAGGAAGAATAATGCAGATCCACCTTTTTTATTCATCGATGCTTTTAGTCCTCTTTTGCTCAAAGTGCTTGAATAATAAGTTATTTTGCTTTATCTAATATAATACTCCATTCATCCCGCTAATATTGTCTCATTTTGTCTTTTTGGGAAAATCCAACCAAAATGGTCTCATATCAAAATTTGTAAAGTTTGTGTAGCTCTAAATCATTCTTACTTTATCAATTAATATCAACCAGATAAACTCTCTTTTCTTAATAACCGTGTCACCTCCTTCCGTTTCAATATTAGTGGGATGGATGTAGTTTTAGTAACTTTCAGATTTTTTTAATTGCATTATTTAATGAGTATGTACTCAATTGATTTGAATATGAGCATCTAATTTTTAAATATGTTTAACTTTTTATATTAATTAATGTGTGGCCAAAATTTTGCATTTCAAGTGGGGCATCTCAATTCAATAGAGGTTGCATAAGAGATGGTTTCTATTTATAATGACACGTACCTTCTTGCAGCAAGCAAAATTAACAAAATTGATTTGTAACAACATTCATGCAACTCAAGTCCAATGACAACCGTTTCTATTATTATTTAGAGTTGAAGATACTTCAACCGATGATTAAGCTTGCTAGGCACCACGAAGAACGGATTTAAAATTCCAAATCAAATGAAACTATTAAATGTGAAAAACTACATTAAATGCTCTCAAAAGGAATAAAGTTTGATCAATAAACCAACGGCTGAATATATACAATGACGGGACTCGCCGCTTGGACTTTAACGGAGGTAATACAGGAACAAGACTAAAAGCATAGGGTACAACAATATATTGCTTTGTGTTACACCAACACATTTAATATACCAAAAATACCCTAATCATCATTGGTGCTTATAAGTTTTTAAGATGTACACTATAAATATGCTTTCCCTCTCTCTGTCCTGCCAAAAATCCATGCTTCAAAAGTTGAGTTGTCTACGAAAAGACTCCAATTTGATCAAACAAATCTAATAAACATAAATTAAAAATATGAAAAACTTGGTTAAGCCAACAAATAAATTTCAAAATTATATGTACAATTCCATAACTTTTAAGAATTTTGACTCTGCAAATATAAAAAAAGTTGGGTCTTGATCAAGCAATAGGCATTTTATGGGACTGAGAGTATTTAATTACTACGTACATTATATGTTAATATGTTATTACTGTCTACCCAACTCCACAAACCTGTAATGTTTAGCAACAGATGCCCCTATTATGAATGTTGCATTACTGGGCAACCTACATGTTTATATATTCAAAATAATTTCTCGTCTTTCTACCCCTTTCATTCAGGAAGCCTTGAATATGCATATGTTTGATGTGACACATTTGAAAGAAATGACACAGGGTGAAACGCTCTAAGAGACAAACCTGGTTGTACTTAGCCAGTCGCTCTCCACGGCAAGGTGCTCCTGCTTTAATCTGACCTATCGCAAGGACAACGGATAAATCAGCTATGAATGTGTCCTCTGTTTCACCACTCCATTGGGATATCATCACTCCACAATGGGCATCCTTAGCCATCTTCGCTACTTCAATAGCTTCAGTTACAGTCCTAATCTGATTAATCTAAATACCGTCTCAACTATGTTAAAATATGGTTACGATATCTAGATATGTTCAATTATACCATGGAGAGATGTAAATATGGTCAAATGTGCCCTTTTATTATAAATTCAAACACCGGTAAGCACACACCTTTAGAAGAAGGGCATTGCACGTATTTTCCTGTATGGCCCTCTCAATACGTTTAGGATTTGACATTAATAAATCATCTCCAACTACCTGAAAGAAAAACAATGAAGGACAATGAAACAAATCTGGATTGGAATCTCCAGTAACACTCAACAGCATAAAATATGCTAACCTGGCATATTCCAAGGCCAGAAAAGTTCTTTATATGTTCCCAGTCTTCTTTGTCAAATGGATCTTCAATTGATACAATTGGATACTCTGATGCAAATAAAATGGACGTAGATGGTAAAAAAGAATGAACATTGAATCTCCAAGTTTAACAATAGTAAATAGTATCTTCCTAAACAACAGTTTGTGATTTACCTGTACAGAGTTCGTTGTACAACTCAACCATATTCTCCCCTGACTTAAAATTTTGTCCGGATTTATTTGGAGTTTTAAAATCCAAATCATACTTCGTGCCTAACATTGACAAGGTATTAAAATCGCTTGTCAGTAAAAGGGTTACATGGGCTATACAAACAAGAAAGCAGTAAATGTTACCTATGCAAAACTGAGTAGCAGCAACATCAATAACGATTTTAATTTTCTCGTTGTATCCTGTTCTGCCTACAGCCTCCTCAATAAGGTCAAGAGCTTCTTTAAAGCTGCAAATACAATTTTCCAAATGTCAAAAGCTTATTAAGATGGATAACTCAAGCAAGTCAGAACTTGCCTCGATATGTTTGGAGCCAACCCACCGTCTTCATGAACATTGCATCCATGTGCACCACATTTCTCTGTTATAACTGCCTGCCATTAAAACAATGAATGTTGAACTCAATGAGTATCTACCATATATTGACTATAAATAGGGAAAGAATCATAAGCATTATCATCTTCTATTTCCCTAGTGTGTCACAATAGACAATAGGGATATGTAGATCCTTACTTATAATAATACACTATAATCTAAACAGGCCTATTAGGATGAGTGTCCACCCTATTTCCTGGAATAAAAATAACCATGAAAGTATTGACTTCTTAAATAACATTTTTTTAGCATTTATGAGTAGTGCATGCCAATATTTTCAATGAACTTATAACAGTGTTGCTTTTTCATTATTTCTGGCTTATCAAGTTATCATAACATGAAATGGATAAAATTGTTATGCCTCCAATGGTCAAAACTTAAACAGTGTACAGTTGATAATTTGTCAACAGCGATTGGTGACAGAAACATATCAAATGGAAAGATCACGTGATGTGCAATTTTGTTGCATAAAATCACCTTCAAAGGATGATAGGTTTCAGACAAATCTGAGATTTGGATTAAACAAATCTCTTCAAACAATAATACGAGATTTGGATTAAACAAATATCTTCCATAAATGAACAATAATGGAGGCTCAGATAAAGCTCACTAACAGGCAAAGAGAAACATCTGACGCCGCCATGGCTGCAAACACACAAACCACATGAGATACTCAGGTCTGGTCAGTGTGTTGCCACGCCAAGATACGGTTGTGTATCCCTAATGGCCATCAACTGGCTCAAGAAAAGGCTTGTCATCACAGCCCCTTTATAAACAACATTGTCGTTGTCAGTACTGACACTATTAATCTTAGGGACATTAGGTCAACCTTATGGACCTCATACTATTTCTAAGCCTCAGAAGCATCATTGGCAGCAAGGGAACTATCAGATGTAGCTGCAGCAATCTCTGGGACAAATTCATCGTAGGCAACAATCCTTTTATCACAGACAACTTTCTCACATGCTACATTTTAACAATCAGTAATAGGGACAGGGGCATTTTCACAATCAACAGCAGGGTCATCTTTTACAGAACAATTCACAATCAGAACATTTTCATTATCAGACACTGGGACAGAAGCATCACAAAGAACAAGAACATTACAAGCAACATTAGTATTGCAGAAATTGTCATAGTCAGTCTCATGTGGAGTCCCCTTCATGAGTGAATTAGAAATGGCCAAATTATTATTGACAGTTGGGGCTGCAGATTATTCCCTTACACACTTAGTGTGTGTATTTTTGGCAACAGTAACCTCAGCATCCAAAAAGGGTTGAAGCATCATCGGTTTTGGGTTGAAATTGGGAAAACCCTAGGGCCTCGAAGGCCTTCCGAATAGCGTCTAGAGGGAGGCGGCCATTAGGGTAGGTCCCAGTCAAAGAGTAACAGAAATCGGAGGATAGAACCTAATCTCATCTTGCTAGAAGGAAACCCCAGAAAGCCTTTGAATCTCCCACGAGGTTTGACGGGAAAGTTACGTTCGCCTTATGTCCGAGAAAGGTAGAGGTCTGAGCACGAAGAAGCCCATCCGCACGCAGGTGTCGTGTGAAAAGCTAGAGTGGCGGAATTAAGAGAGAAGGTAGCGCGTCTGACCACGAAAGGCGAAGCAATGGAAGAGCTAAATGAAAGAGATATTATCTCACTCGAAAAAGCCCATCTTCACACAAGAACGTGAACAAACAGGAGCAAGGATTTTTCTCAGTCACAGAAAAAATCGGAAAGGAGGGAAGAAGACGGTAACTGGGCGTTTAGTTTTCTCAGCGCTACAATGAAGTTCCGTTTAGCACTGTATACACGGAAACAAGCTAACTAACCGGCTTAGGCGTTTAATGTATATAGTAAGATAATATAATATGAATTATTTTAAAATTCATTAATATGTATGTTTATATTTTGAATGAGATCCGAATTAATTACATATTACTTGCGGATTTTGAAATTTAATTTTCAACCCGTGCATGCGCAGGGACAATCTGAATTGGTAGTATAACATGATCCGAATGAATGTTTTTATATTATGTTGTTTTACGGCCTGCATGTTGTTTTTCCCACTATCCCCTGTAATGTTTTCAACCCCATAAATATTTAGTAGTCTACTGCACAGGTTGGATATGTGAAGGAGATATGAACATTTTGGGATCATGCTATATCACTGCATTAGTTTTTAAATTATTTACTTAAATCTATGATTGTTGCATGTGTTTAATTATTAGACTCTATTAATTACAAGTCTAAATTGATTTCCTAATATGACCAACATTTAAATTATGCTAGTCGTGACATGTGCCTGCCAAAGTAGAGCATTTCACACTATCTTAGAAAGATGGTTCGAATGATCGTCATTCTCGGGATCTTAATATTGGTTTGGACTTACAAGATCATCAAAATTGTTTTGGGCCTTTAAGCAAGGAATGTTTGGATGATCATATGATGCTGACCAAACAAACAAATAGTCATATAGGATATGATTAACAAGAGTTGTTTGCCTAAATAGCCAATGTTTGAGTGATTAAAATGGTTTCCATTAACTAATGTTTACCAAGGCCATCAAAATGATTTTGAGCATTATTTAAAATTCTTTGCATTATTTGTTGTAGTTAATATGACCACCAACACAACTTTTTTTACCGCGATCAATCTTTGAGAAGGAAAAATTTAATGGAACAAATTACATAAACCAAGATAGGAATCTGAGAATTGTTCTCAGGCAAGAGCGTAAAGAATATGTCCTTGACCAGCCAATTCCTCCTGAACCAGCGGACAATGCTCCTAGAGCCACTAGAGATGCTTATGAAAGGAATGTCCGTGATGAAGTTGATATCACGTGTCTGATGTTAACCATCACGGAAACTAATCTTCAGAAACAGTTTTTGAATCATCGTGCACATGGCATCTCTAATGAACTCAAGAACTTGTTTAAAAAGCAAGCACAAATTGAAAAGGTTCGAGGCAACCCAGGCTTTGTTTCACATAAGGCTTGCTGATGGGAGCCTGTTAGTTGGACCTCACGTACTCGAGATGATTGGTTATAGGGACCACTGGGAAAGACTTGGATCTCCAATTAGTCAAGAGTTTGCCACTGATGTGATTCTCGCGTCACTCACCCCAGCATATGACTAGTTCATCTTGAACTATAAGATGCATGGTTTTGAGAAGACATTAACTGAATTGCATGGAATGCTCAACTCTGTTGAGCAAAACCTAAAATAATTTGGGGTGATGTTTGATGATAAAAAAGGGGAAGGGATTCAAGAAACACGGTAAAGACAAGGTTGGTGGAAACAAGAAATCCAAAAACCTGGTTAAGAACTCGGGTAAAGGCAAATCTGCTGCCAGCTCTACTTCTAAAGAAGAGCAAAAATGTTTCCACTTCAACAAAATCGGTCATTGGAAGCGGAATTGCAAGGCATATTTGGAGGAACCGAAAAACAAGGGGCATTGTGATGTTTCCAATTCAGGTGTCTATGTGATAGAAGTAAATGTTACTACTACTACTACTACTTCATGGGCATTAGATATCGGTTGTGGTTCTCATGTTTGTTTAAATGTGCAGGGACTATCAAGAAGTAGAGGGATGCTAAATGTGAAGTTGAACTACGAGTAGGGAACGGTGCAAAAGATGCATCATTGACAATAGGGGCGTTTACTTTAAGTTTGCCCACGGGCTTAATTTTAGAACTTTATAATTGTTATTGTGTACCTGCCATTAACAGGAATATAATTTATGTTTCTTGTTTGGACAAGAAAGGATTTCATTTTATAATAAAGAACAATATTTGGTCTATTTATTTTAATGAGATATTTTATGGTAATGCTGGTCTTATTAATGGACTTTATGTTCTAGACCTTGAAATGCCCATCTATCATGCAAATACAAAGGGGTTTAAATCTAACGACTCAAACCCAACATACATTTGGCATTGTAGGCTAGGCTGTATAATTGAGAAGCAAATTAAAAGACTCCATTCTTATGGATTTCTTGACTCTTTTTATATGAATCAATCGAGGAGTGTGAATCTTGCTTCTTGGGTAAAATGGCCAAATTACCATTTACTAGTAAAGGTGAAAGAGCTCATGGTTTATTGGATCTCATGCACTCGGATATATGTGGGACAATGTCAACAATGGCCAGAGGAGGTTTTCACATAACATTCAGTGACGACTTCAGTAGATTTGATTATGTGTACCCAGTTGTTGGGTAAATAGCCCCGAACAGGAGTCCGGCCCATTTACCCCCGAACCGACGTACGTCGCCCAGCCCGCGGATGGCCCTGGCCTGAAGGAATGGGGACGAATGTTTATCTCCGGGGTAACAGCACAAGGTCCCGGCCGAGGGTCGGTTAGCACATCCGTGACGAACGTCGTCAGACGAGGCCCATCTCCGTAGATGGCCCAGGGCCCAAAAGATTGTTACGTTCTCAGGAAGGGCCGCAGACGAACGGCCCCCGTTTCTACCAGACGATCGTGGTCAGGAATTAGGCGGGGAACCCAGATTCTGGCGGGAAGCGCATTTAATGCTGGAGATTTGGTGGTTGGGCCACAGCCACTAACAATCCTCCACATCATCAAGACTAACTGCCCATTGGCGGGTATAAATAGTAGCATTTATTTCATTGTAAGGGGTTGGCAACTTTCTATTCTTAGCATACTAGCTTCAGCATTCTTACTTGCAGCATTTCTAAGTGCCTTGTAAGACGAACGGCCGACGTGCCTTTTTAGCAAGTAGATTGTACTTAGGGGAGTTATTACGAAGTTAATAATACCTATTTACATTGCCTGCTATTTCTCTTGTTTCCTGATCCATCTGAAAGTTGTTGGGCTAGATATCCAAACACTCCACTCGAAATCTTTGGGCTTACGTGTTGGGTCCAAGGGTTGAAGGAATAAACCTCAACACTGGCGCCGTCTGTGGGAAACTGAGCAAAAGGTTTCCAGAAACTCTCCCAAACAGCTACTAAGTCTACCTACAGCAAACACGATGTCAGGAAGCAACAACCAGCGTG